GAGGGGGGAGTGGTATCCAAGTTCTGTAAATTACAAAATATTTGTATTCATTATATATATATACACAAAAAATCGGATGTCTCTAGATTTAAAACTGTTCAAATTAGGCTGAAAAAAAAATCAATTTTTCGATTATTCTCGATAAAAAAGTTATCGGTTGAGCTTTCGAAACATAATAAGCTTGTCTCCGTATGGTACATACGTGTCTGCATCGAACTTTCAGTTCTCTGACTCGTATAACTTCTGAGATCGACGCACTCATACGGGCGGAGGGACGGACAGACGGATAGACGGATAGACGGATAAAGCTATATCGACTCAGTTCGTCGTGCTGATCAAGAATATATATACTTTATGGGGCTTGCGATTATTCCTTCTGCCCGTTACATACTTTTTACAAACCCATTATACCCTGATTTCCTATTTTCAATGGGTTCAAGCTATAAAAAGGCTCTCGCTTAAGACAATTATGATTCTATGGCCTAGAATGAACTATGCTAGTTAAATAAATTTATTTCAAAAAGTTAAAGTACTGAGGGATATAAGGTAACCGGAAAGAATTGATACTCAAAGCTTGTAAATATTTTTTCAGTTTTAATATTAGGGGCTTTTATTATTATACCCTGAACCCATTGAAAATGGGCAATCAGGGTATCATGGTTTTGTGAAAAACTATGTAACGGACAGAAGGAATCATCGGAGACCCCATAAAGTATACATATATATTCTTGATCAGGACGACGAGCTGAGTCAATGTAGCCTGTAGCCTGATTATGTTCTGAAAGTTTCATTAAGATTGTACGCCTAGAAATTAAATTATTCAACAAATAAATTCTCATAATATTGCCCACACTGCAGCGCAGCCCAACCGCAGTCGCTGCTTACTGCGCAGTTAGCAGAGAGCGGGCTGTATGTATGTTTTTATGTATGTATGTATGTGTGTGTATGTGTATGTATGTGTATGTATGTGTGTATGTGTGTGTATGTGTGTATAAAAGAAATGCAAAACGATTAGAATATCAGATGGAGGGTTCAGGGTATCCCCTAGTCGAGCAGTCTCCAGTAGAGCCTTCTTACTTGTCTTACTATTGTGGTGCAAGCTGTAATAATAAATCAATTTGTAATATTCAGTTCAATCTGTGAATACAGAGTTGTAAGTTGTGACAATAACTTTTTAATGCCATTATTAGAATACAAGCTCTTCTTCAAATCATATCGCAATAGTTTTTAAGAATTATCATTATATATATATATATGTACATTTACTTACAGTTAATGTAAGCACTCCTAATTTTCGTTTCGTGCGCATCATGAAAGCGATATTTTTTTTAACGTTTGACGACATTTTATGATCTTCCTGATTTTCATCAAGCCATTGACTGTTCATAATGACTTCACGGACCACCTTTTTTAATTTATATTTCAAAAAAAGCTTCTTTTGAAGATCTTCTGCATTTCGGTTACGCTTCAGCACCATTTCACGACCTTTAACCAACAAACTACAAACAAATAAGATAAGCAAATATATATTTGAAAGTACGAAAAATTTTGTTGCAAAGGCATGCTGAGGGAATACCTCCTAGTAATATACTTAAGTGAATGTAGCTTTTCTTTGATATCATGCATAACGACTGTAATTCAAATTCGTTAATTACGTTTTTGTGGTGTAGTTCATCGAGACTCCTCCAGATGGCGTAACACAGCTCAGGAGCCCTCACATTCAGAAATACCGATACATATCGATTACTCTTTACCATTCAAAGAATATAAGAGTAAAAACAGCTGATTGAATTTCGATAATTTCTTGAATGCTGGTTTCTCTTAATCTTTCGTTTTTACATATTGTGACTTAGGCGTTTTGTTTAAAATTTGGTTTCGTTTCTAATTTATTTCGATTTGAAAAAGATGAAGTCAAACTCAGTATCAGAAGCGCCGGTAATATTGGACAATGAAACTAAAGTATATTCTATGTAAAATGATCTGGGAAAAACTTAATTTAGTTCCATTTCTCTTCAAACTTTCACTTTTTTAGTTATCAGGCAACTGCGCTAAATTATTATCGCTAAATACAATACCTTTGCGAACCGTTATGCTTTTCTTGGCGGCAACAGTAGGTACTGCAGTTCTTATTGAACTTTTACCGCAATACACTAAAATAATTAGTGTAAGAAACTCATTCAATGGCACAACGCATACGTCGCCTCATGAGCGGTTCTACTCAATTTATAGCACTAGCCCAACGGAAGAGCACTTGGTGCACGTAGTTGATGTCTTGAACCGTTTCGGTTTTAAGAAAGTTGGCTTAAACGATAATTGGGACTTGCTGTGGGCTCATGACTATCCGTTTCGCGTGTTTCCGAATCTGAAGAATCTTAAAGCGCATCAATTCGTCAACCATTTGCCTGGCTGTGGATACCTCACAAATAAAGTTGACTTATGTACTACGAAGTTACCTTTTTTGCCACGTGCATTTCGCCTCCCAAGCCAGAGGGACGCATTCTTGGAGTACGCATCGGCGCATCCGGAGGCACTGTTTGTCCAGAAGCACAATGAACATCGGCACATTAAAGTTCGGTCAATTAGTAACATCGACTTGAACTCGAATAATTCGTTTGTTCAAGAGTTTATTCAGAAACCATTTTTAGTCGACGGTCATAAATTTGATATCGGTGTCTATGTTGTGATTACATCTGTAAACCCGTTACGAGTTTACATATACCACGGCGATGTTCTGTTCCGTTACTGTCCCGAAAAATATTATCCATTCGATGCTGAAATCGAGGACAAATATGTTGTAGGGGACAACTATTTACCTACTTGGGAAGTTCCATCACTACGCAAATATTATAACAGCTACGGTGGCAGTATGCGTGCTTCTTTTGAAGCGTATGTGCAGGACCAAGCAATGGACCCATCCAAAATATGGCCACAAGTCGAAAACATTATTCGTACAACTATTTTAAGTAAAGAACAAGATTTAATTGATTCACTTCGTAGATATAAGAGGCATAATTTTTTCGATTTGTTGCGGTTTGATCTATTCATTGACGAGAACCTTAAAGTATACCTCATGGAAGCCAACATGTCACCAAACCTTTCCTCTGCCCACTTCAAACAAAACACATTACTGTACGAGCAAGTGCTTTATAGTGTATTCAACCTGGTAGGAATTCGTCCAGTGAGCCAAATAGGAGATGATCGAAATACGTATGTATTATAAAGGTGTTAGGGTATGATTTTTGTTATCATAAAATTTGGTTCCTTCCAGGGTCTCTGAAATTATAACGGCCGATAAAAATTTAGCGACTGGCTTAAACAAATGTGCATATAATGATTGCGATAAATCATGCAATAAAGAAGAATGCAGCCTATGTCTACCCTGCATAAGTGGAACAGAGTTTGAATGGCTTCAGCGAGCGCATAATGAACACTTGCACCGCGTTGACATGAAGCGTATTTTTCCAAAGCCAATAGTAAATTGATTTTCTTAATATAACATTTGGTCATATAGTAACATTTTTTTTGTTTTCCAGAATGACATTCAAATATTTGATATCGATGCGGAAACTCGAAACTTGTCAAACAAGAACGCCTGGATAACACGCTGGTTTTTTAACAAATGTAAATATGACCGGACGTGGTGCACATAAACACATAGATGTACATGTGTGATTAGTAAGATTATTTCTATGAAATTATTCATTTGAAATCATCAAAAAGAAAAAACTGTCAAATCGTCCCAGTATGTTTCAAATTCAATTTTAATGCTTTTAATTTATTGTGGCATAATATTAGACAAAGGCAAACACCATATCTATACGGAAGGTCTGTACGAAGGTCGATAACGAGAAAGAATAATTGACTTATATTATTTGTTGTAAAATTTAAAACAAATTACAACTTACGATTTCATTTGCTTTTGAGGTCTGAAAGGCCAATTACGCTTGCTTTAAAACGTAATCAAACCATGATTAAAAAACAGTGAATAAATGTAAAACTATAACTACTTGGATTTCTTTTAAAAGCAAGAAATGTACAACACGTTTGTGATGAAATTTCAGTCAATGACTCCGAGTCGGCCGATTAACATTGATAGTTGAAATTCATATTCGATTCAGGGTACACAACCAATTATTAGTTTTTATTCTTAAATGTATTGTTTGTCTTATGAAAACTTTATAAGCTCACACTCTGTAAGTTAATAAAATAATGAAGTATTGGTTAGTATCATAATTTGTAATATGAACAGTAAGAAAGTTGCAATCGGGGGTTATAATTAAGTTTTGCTCTAATGCTGTAGAAAATTCAGCTCATAGAACAAGCTAACGGTAAACTAGCTGCAAAATTATGCTTACGCTCAAAAAATAAAAAAGCTTTTGCTGCTTGCCACGCCTCCTGTGGGCGGACGTATATCCACCAAAGCTTTTTCGTCTTGGGAGGTCAGCCCGAATATATATACCAAACTTGAGGGCTCTAGCATCAGTAGTATCCAAAATATAGCAGGATTTGAAAAGTCAATATATATTCAGGTCCGTTTTTCCACGCCCCTAAAGGGCGTGCTCTTATAATTTTTTCATCAATATAGAATCATAACATTTGCTCACGTGCAAAATTTAAACGTTCTAGCTTTAAAATTCCAAGAGATGCAGTTTTATCCGATTTGCCATGGGATTTCCCCCCAGTGGGATGGTCGATACGGGTCAACATTCCAAATTTCAGCTTGCTAGCTCTTCAACTTATATGATTTCTGGCTTATCGGAAAATAATTTTTTTTAAGACGATTACAAACAAGATAATCCTATCAAAATAATAGGTACTCAAGCAAGTCATTGGATAAAATTTCTGAGATTCTCAAATGTTAATTGATTCGCTGCTATATGGTCAACATAACAAATGGATCTACGAAGCTAAATAAAGACGAATAGGTTTTTTCGGTCATTTTATGTAGAAGTAAGAAGATAAATTTATCGCTGACATCGTTCGACATTTAGAGGTTGTATAGTCTTTGTATACATCCTCCACAAACAAAATTCGTTCATGGGAAAAAATAGTGTGCGAATTCTTTATTCGACAAGGCCACTTCAAATGAAACATGCGGAATATGTATATGAGTATCAGCTCTGGATACTACAAACACCATGAGTATAAGAGCTAACTAAAGGCTAAACTCTAAAATCGAGTAATTATTTAAAAATTGCTAATCTGTTCACTCAAACAGTTAGACAGTAAAGCGGGCATTACACAACCCCAGTATAGACATTTCCTAGACCAAGAAAAACAAAACAGTAAGAGTTGTTTCACTGAAGCTGACAAATTATATTTACATACATAAATAGGTAAGCATTTATAAACTAGTTATACGAACAGCTTCAGCTTATTGACTCGGTAGAGAATCTATAACATTGTGATTTCTGGCAAGCCTCCCTTTACCTGTTTCTTACTATTTATTTTATTGTGAACGTATGTAATAAACTTATTTTATAATCTCAGATCTCAGGTTTCTATTTTGAAGTCAGAGTAACTTCGAAGATGTTTGTATTTCCGTTTAACGGTTCACTAAGCTTCTACTCCAAATAGTTGCAATAAACAACTTTTCTTCGATTCAACGTCAGTCGCTTCATTTCCATACCCACTACAAATCGATAAAAACGGTATATTGGTGTCTATACGTTTATGGGACATTATGTTCTACAAGTTATTCCTCAAATACAGGTTCAACTGCTGTTAATAGCTGCGTATAATGATATAATGATAGACAATTTCAATAATATACCTGACAAATATTGTATAACTTGTATATTCCTTATTGCTGGGATGCATCGTTTGGTATAAAAAAAAAAGATACTAAGACGCATATATAAAATGAAACTATTTTTCCCTCCGACGGACGTTTGTATAGCCGCATACAGGGTACATTCTAGCACATAATTCAATAGTGAAGTTATGTTGCTTGCCGTAATTAATAGTGGCTCATGTGCGGCGATTTAAATAGCCGCTAATTGTTACCGCCGTCAAAGAAAACTGGTTTAAGCGCCAGGAAATGGTCAACTGTGGATGCTCGCTGCACTCCTTTAAATTTGTAATTTCGCTCTTAATGCTAGAGCATATTTCATTTGCATTTTGTGCGCATTTTTTACAGCTTGACTCAAATGCAAAAAGAAGTGCGGATAAGATTCTCAAGCATATACGTGTGCATATCAGAACACGTAAGACTGCTCCAACGAAAAAAACTTTCCCAAACCCTGTATTTCATGTATTCTAAGCCGCATTGGCATGCTACAGGGAAACAAGTGAAACGTTACAATGGCAACTGACCGACTAAATAATACTTCTTCTCAATTGACAGACCACAGAATTCTGTAAACTCAAATTATTCCTATTAAATTGTATTACAAAATAATTAAATCAAAATTGATTGGAATGCTCAGAAGCAGAGATATACAGGCATTTTTGATAGATTCGACCTATAATATCGATTTAGTAAAATACAATATGCTGTTTCTGCTTGTTTTCATTTATTTTAGTT